CATTTCGTCTTTCATGGTCAGAGCGTCCTTCAATTCACAGAATTCCGGGGAAAGTGATAAGTGCATAACTTGTGGTGGCTTCGCCCAGGTATCAACCCCATGTTCCGCACAGGGGGCATTAGGAGTTGTGGCAGTATCAGGCGTCGGGTACTTGGGAACCTTTGGAGGATTTGCTGACAATTTAGAGGGCATCCTTTTCCTCCTCGATGCCATAGCCAATAACTCGTGGTCAGAAGGAACGAAACGAGAAGTGCTTGATGAAGTAGATACACAAATAAAGAGGAATAGAAGTTAGGGGTAATCGATCCAGCACTAATAAAGAAGAGCATAAACCTCAGATAGTACCTGCAATAGGAGTAGAATCCATGAGTGGGGGCACGGGAGTATTCTTAACAATCGGAAAAACAACTTGTAAAGGGACGAAAACGCTCATACCCTCACCATCATCTTTGGAAACTTCAGATCCTTGCCCTGAATCTTCTACGCAAACGACATGTGAATTCTGATTCAAATCGTGTGCGGTAGGGGTGTGCCTACGAGACCGCCTTAACCCCACATATTCAGACTCAACAGGAAGAGGCGACGTACCTTGAAAGTCTGACACCAGGTTCACATAAGTTCGATCCTCAATAGGGAACGAAAGAATCCTGGCATTTCTCTCTTCAGAATGCAGACCGGGAACCAGTGGAATAGTCTTCCTCTCTGCACGTCACAGAGAAACAATGCCAAACACATCAAGTTTTATACATATATCCGAGAACGCAGAAAACATTCTGAAATTACCCAGTTCCATTACCTACACCCGAGGTTGCAAATCAGATAACAAAAATAGAAGACGAAAATCAACCGAGCAAGTCAAGAAACGGGATTCGAAAGAGAAACTAACCTTTGTGTAAATTCTCTTCCAGGAATGATCCGTCAGCACATAACGACTCTTTATTTACAAAAAAGTACAAGTTCATCCATCCCCGGTCATTAGCTTTGTCCACCTTATGAATGAGGGTCTCTTTTCCTTCCTTCACTGCTAAAGTAAAGCGACCGGCTCCTGAAGATCTGAGGTCGTAGGTGAAACCCAAGTCTTCAAAATCTAGGGCCAAACTATGTTTCTCACTCAAGACCTCTAAAGCTCTGAGTACCCTCCATACTTGGGGCATGATTTGGGAAGGCGATACTCTGACGAAAGCAAGAAAGTCTCGGACTAAACGTGAGAATGGGAATTTCATACCTATCTTGAAAGGGTACATCAAGAAGTTTACCCAACCATCACAGAACCAATCTATCCTCTCGTTCGCTGCTGGAAAACGAATAACCGCGTTGTGGGGAAAGGCGATAGATGACCTGATAAAGTCGACATGATATTCTTAAAGTTTCGCTTGCTTTGAGTTCTTTGGATCTAAAATGTGTTGCGGAATGAAGGGTTGTGAAGCCATGAAGAACCAAGGCGCTGGCTGGGATTTGCAAGAAATCGAAAGGAGAGGAGAGGAAGTTTTTCTTGCTGAACTAATTCACTAAGGGAAGAAGAGATTAGTGATTGATTGATACCGAACGACTGACGGCCTTACACATTCCAAGGCGATGTCATGATGAAAAATTCAAAGAATCGGTTGGTCCTTTAATTTTTCAAGATTGGCGCCCTCCTCTTCTTTGAATTGGGGGCAATTGTTGGGCGGTGGAAATATAAAAAAAATATAGATCGGCCCATTCCTAAAAGACGAAGCCCAATTGAGTAAAGGTCAAACGAATCGGATAAGAATAGACTTGGTAGGAGCATCCAACTGAATGACGGAGCCTAGAAATCAGGAGGCATTTCCGGCGGACAGTTGAGCCACACAAGTAGAATAGTATTGTTGTATAAATATAGGAGAACTTACAATAGAGAGGCACGATCAATCCTGCTTGATTATCTATGCACTTATAATACCACTCTTTTATTCATCCACTCAGATTAATACATTTAATTCATTAATCTTCAGTTTTTACATTTTGTTTCTTGTACGATCCCTATATACATATAATTTTAGATTAGTTTAATTCTTGCTTAAACAGTGATCAGTGATAATCCAACCTTGATGGCAGTTGAACGACTGACTATGGAAATTGGCGGTGGTAAACACTAATTATAATGTATAAGTGACGAAATAATCACTCTTTTATTGATAATAACCGAATGAAATTATTTTCACCAACTTGTACACACCACTTATACACCATTTTGCATGTCAAATGTGCTTTGTCTGTACATAGACAATCGGTTTTCATTTTAGTAAAGGGCACTGTCTAGGATCTCGAAATAGTGAATTGTCTGTACGTAGACAATTCACGGTCACAATTAATTTTCTTTACTAAATGAAAATCAATGAGATAAGAGTTATTTGAGTACATCAACTTGTATGAGGTGGAGTAAAAGAGTACACTATATCGCATCTGACTTTTTAAAGTACATAAACTCGGTCTTTCAGTGTTAATTGAGTACACTCGTTATATTAAGACGTCAATATGACTGAATTGGCTAAGAGAAAGCTAATAGGTCAACTTGTTGAAGGTAGACGCTGGCCCCCAGCCCCTTGGTCGATGATAGCCCTCATAGGTCGACTTCCCCTTTGACGATGCAATCTCGCACGTCGAGCCCCCCCCAACCCCTTGACCAACTTTCACTTCTTACTTAGAACTTCGTTAGACAACTTAGTCATATTAACGCGTTAATCTAACGGGTGTACTAAATTAACTCTAAAAATCGAGTTTATATATTCAAGAATGTCAAATGCAATATAGTGTACTATTTACTTCACCAAAGTTATTTACTTATTGATCATTTTTTCAAAAGTCAATTACGTATGCACAAACAAAATATGAGATGAAACCGGGTGTTGGACCAGGCTAACAATTTTTGTTACTACGTACTCCTTTTTTTTACTCCACAATATAGTACTCAAAACCCCCGCCGTCCTAGTAGGAAGATAAGGTAAATGAGGCCGGCCAGAATCCGTACACCCATTCACATTATACTAATGATGTAATTACACGTTAAACGTGGACTTTTGATTGTTTGCCATTTCATAAGAATTCGCTGTTACTTCTAATTTCCGTTCTTCGAAGTCATATGCGCCAGAGTCAAACTCCTCTGTTCACTAATACAGATGGCAGCATGTTTTTATTTTCTTTCAGATTATGGTGTAGACTTTATCAATTAAGTTGATTGGAATGATTAAATTTACTGAATTTAATATATAAACATGATGACAGTTGAAATGTTTGAATTAAGTGAGCTTGATCGTTACAAAAAAATCTACGGAGAAAGTTGTAATTTCATCAATAAATGAGATTCTAATGCTATTTTCAATCCAACTTCATAAAAACATTTTAATCGAACCTCTCTCATGAACAAGTCATTCATGGTGAATTTATAAATTAGGGAAACTTTCAGTGGTATGAATCGCGACAAACATTTTTAGATGGTCTGTACAAACATAAATTAAAATATAGTGCAAAAATAATAAATATTTGCACTTTGACTTAGTTGCAATTTTAGACCAAAGAAGACTTAGAGGTACCCATAAACAATTTTACATCAGATTATTTAACACAATTGAATATAGAAGTTACACATTCTAACCTATTAGAATGTAGGAGCAGGTAGAATGACATTTTATGATAGCTGAGAAAATTACGTAGTAAAATTATGTAGGAGCAAGTTGAAAGACATGCTATGAAATACTACGTAAGAAACTATGAAATAAGAAAACTAGTGTAATGATAGTAGGAAAAATAAGTAATTATATATTGTACTTTATTTTGATCTAATAAAGATGTCATGGTAAATGACTTTCCATGTATGGAGTTGGTGTATTTCTTATTAAGTGACTCAATAGGGTGATTCGGGCTTTTGTGTTTCCGATTAATTGACAAAAAGTGTTATACTTTTTTTAAATGGGATTTTGATGTACTACTTGTACTATTTGATTATTTGATTGCTTTTTATGCCGAGTCCTTCAACCTTTTGGAGATTTACTATTACAATATGTACCATTTGTAGCATTTGATTGTTGATTTTCTTTTATTCTTTTTGTTTTAACATTGTGAGATTGACTACTTTTATCGGGTTTCTTTGAATGTTCCCATTAAAGTTATACAAATTTAACTTTGATATTAGACTTCAAGATTCTCGAGAAGTGGACAATGATCAAATCGCTCTTTAGAGGACACTTAATTACAAGTCTAATCGAATGCTATTGTGAAGACCGAGTATTATATCTTGATTGTAATCAATCTTGTGAACATTGATTATTCTAATATAAATGCTTTTACCATAACAATAATAATCTAATAAAGATGTCAAAACCTACTTATTTTAATCATGCCATTAATCTATGAGATAAGTAAAAAATAGGGTTTAGCTATGAAATTAGCTATTGATTAGTCTTAAACATAAATTAGATTTAAAAAGATTCAATTTTCTAGTTTTTGTATTATTTAAAAAATCTTTAGAAGTTTTTTGTTGTATGTTTGACATGTCAACTTTTAAGAGCTTTTATTAAAATAAAAGAATATTTTTGAGATGTCACAATGAGTAGCATCTCAGAGAAGTCTGTAGCTTATAACCTTAATTAGTCCCAACAACTTGTATAATAAACAGAACTAAATCAAACAGTCAACTTTGTATCAAATAATTACTACCTTTTTCTTTTAAAATCATTTTAATCACTAAAAAGCTAACAATTATAAATAACTTATCTATTGGGGAGTGTATGGTAAGTCCAAGCCCTACAAGACTACAACACGAAGCTACAATAGTTAGGTTTGCCCCATTTATTAATTTTAAAACATTGCTAGTAAGCCGCTGCCGTTTACAACCACCAGTTGAGTTCCGGTCAACGGCTCCGAGCAAAACAGTCCAAAAAGTCAACAACGTGAAGCAGGAAAAGAATAATTGCTCGTAAAATCACTAAATTATGTGCCAAAAAGTGGATACTGTGCATTTAATGTTTATTAAAGAAAAACACCCGAAATCGAAAGTCAACGCCCCTCCCCACCCACTCTTTCTCTCTCCCATTATTCTGCTCAAATCCCCCGTGCATATTCCTTCTTCTTCCTCGATCACCCGGAGGTAATATGAGTGAGTGAGTGTAAATTTGTGGTTTTTCAGAGCTAAAGAAAGAATATTTCTGTTGGAATTGTGGGTTTTCTGTTTCCGCTTTTCTTTCTCTTTTTTGACTTAAGAATTAAGAAAAAGGATGGGAAACGGTGCTGGTAAACTGAACGTCTGCTTCACCAGCGGCGACGTCTCAGAACCGCACCGGCGGAGGAATTTGAAAGCGGTGACTTCCGACCCATTAGATGACCTGGGCCACTCTTTCTGCTACGTTCCCGACGTGGCGCGTCTCTCCACATCCAAGGTCCACTCCGAGGAAACGACGATGTTCCGCTCGATTTCCGGCGCCTCCGTCAGCGCAAACACCTCGACGCCGCTGTCCACGGCGTTTGTAGACGTATACTCGTACAACAATAGCATCGATCGGTCTTCAACTTTCGAGAGTTCCACATCCTTCGCTTCCATTCCTCTGCAGCCTATCCCGAGAAACTCTTCAATCCACTCCGGTCCGCTACTCGGCGCCGGTTTCGCGCAGGCCTCCGGCGGCTTTATGTCCGGCCCGATTGAGAGGGGGTTCCTATCGGGACCCCTCGATCGAGGCACGTTTTCAGGCCCGCTGGAGAAAGGCTCCGCTGATCAGTTCCGGCGGAGCTTCTCTTATGGGGGAGGTTTCGGGCTACGATCCAAATTGAGGAAGCGGAAACTGATTCGGGTCATCCAGAGAGCTATCTCGAAAACCATAAGCAGGGGGCAGAACTCAATTGTGGCTCCAATTAAAGGATCCATTTCAACCAAAGAACCCAATTGGGTTGTCGGGTCGGAGAAGCAGAACGATTTCATAGTCAGTAGTGCCAATCTGAGCAGCGAGTGCAGCTTGGATGATGACGATTCACCCGGAAGCCGAAATCTCCAATGGGCTCAGGGAAAAGCGGGTGAGGATCGGGTCCACGTGGTGGTGTCCGAAGAACATGGGTGGGTCTTTGTTGGGATTTATGATGGGTTCAATGGTCCGGATGCTCCGGATTATTTGGTATCCAATTTATACCCAGCTGTTCATCGGGAGCTCAAGGGACTGCTATGGGATGATAAGTTCGAATCAACCACCAATGCAGCTCAAACTCTCCAGTCTTCAACTCTCGAACCGGATTATGTGAATCGAACCGTAAAAGATGAAGTGCCTAGAGATAGAACAAGGGATGGTTGCACGAGATATGTTGAGCAAGAGGGTTATCCTTGTACAAGGGAAGTTTCGAATTCCGATCCTAAGTTTAGGAGAAACAAGGGGAAGAACAGATACAAGGGAGCAGGAGGAGCGGCTAAGAGATGGGAGGAGAATCAGAGAAAATGGCGGTGTGAATGGGACAGGGAAAGGCTGGAGCTCGATAAGAGGTTAAAAGAGCAATTTAGCAGGACCGGGTGTCGGGATTCAAGAGCGATTAATCACAATGATGTATTGAAAGCTTTGTCTCAAGCGTTGAAGAAGACGGAGGAGGCCTATTTAGATCTCGCAGACTTGATGCTCGATGAAAATCCCGAACTAGCTTTGATGGGTTCGTGTGTTATGGTAATGTTGATGAGAGGGGAGGACGTTTATGTGATGAATGTTGGTGATAGCCGGGCAGTTTTGGCTCAGAAGAAGGAGCCTGATCTTTGGAGTCAGGATTTGGAAAGGATCAATGAAGAATCATTTCATGATCTTGAAGGGATTGATGTTGAACGGTTAGATGCGGTTTCATGTTTAACTGCTTTTCAGCTAACCACGGATCATAGCACTTCTGTGAGAGAGGTAAAGTTATCTGGTTGCTCTCTTGATTTGATTAATTGATTGCAATTTAGATTTTCCTAAACCAGCTTATATTATTTTATTATTATTATTTTAATTTTCAGGAAGTTGAAAGAATAAGAAAGGAACACAAAGATGATGTTTCAGCTGTTGTGAATGATCGTGTTAAAGGTTCACTAAAGGTCACCCGAGCTTTTGGTGCTGGTTTTCTCAAACAGGTATGCCATAATATGATCTTTCTATCTTGGCTAAATAGTCAACTCTTTTATTGGATATTGGTCACATAACATATAACTTTCAGTTAATTTCTTGCGTTCGATTGATTCCTAAGTAATAAGTATGGCTTATCAAGAATAGTTTTTTAACCTAATACAGGAGTGTTCATATATTTTCAAAATAAAACCCAAAAATAGTTTTTTAAGAAAAAGGAATAAAATATATTAATATACGGAGTACTATATAGACAGCCCTGTACTAAAACACCAATACTATGTTTTCATAGCTCTATATCTTCTAAATTAGGTGGACCACTGCTATAACAGTCCTTGCGCGCTCTATTAGGTGGCCTTAGCGTTTGCGATAAACTTGTAAAATTGAGTGTTTTTTTGAAAGAGTAAGGAGAGTGATCTACTAATATTCTTAGTTGATAACAAGTTCAAACATGTTCCCGAACCTATCTAGTGCGCGAAACGGATAGTTCCCATCTATTTTTGGAGGCACACTCTGCAATGGATTGGTTGTCACCATACATTAACATATTCCTCCAAGAAAGTAGTGGGGAGCATTTGGAATCTAAGAATCTCTATCAATGCTTTCTTCCTCTCCACAAACTTTAGCTGCCAAAGAGGCAATTTGAAATCTGTTTCAACTTTATAGGTAGTAAATTAGCTTTTGACTGGGATTTACTTTATAATTAGAACTGGATTTAGTGATTTACTTTATCTGGGGATATATATTCTGTTTATTTTGAAAAGGTTTGCATTATGAACTAAAGCATATTGTAACAAAAATAATTTTTTGTTTTTGTGCAGCCAAAATGGAACAATGCACTTTTAGAGATGTTTCGGATTCACTATGTTGGGATATCCCCATACATAAGCTGTGTTCCTTCACTATACCATCACCGGTTAGGAACAAGAGACAGGTTCTTAATATTGTCATCAGATGGACTCTATCAATACTTCACGAACGAAGAAGCTGTTCAAGAAGTTGAACATTTCATCGCATGGTCACCTGAAGGAGACCCAGCCCAGCATCTTGTTGAAAAAGTTCTGTTTCGGGCAGCGAAGAAAGCAGGTACTAGTAATGCCTTGTTTGGATGAACAAAATCAAAAGGATGTATGTTTATTTTCCCCGAATGACAAAACTTTATGTTCCAGGTTTGGAGTTTCATGAATTGCTTGAAATCCCACAGGGTGATCGGCGGAAGTACCACGACGATGTTTCGATAATTGTTATTTCATTGGAAGGAAGAATATGGAGATCTTGTGTATAGTATGTAGGAAAGTTATATATAGAAATCCAAAACCCCACCATTTTTGCCCTTTTTTTAACCATGGCATCTCTGTGAAGATAATAACCAACACTCTGTAAAAAGGAGTGATGTGCAATATGAATGGAGGTGATTGGGATTGTAAAGGTGTAAATGCAGCTGTGCATTGTTATTAAAAATGACAGTCTTTCTCTATTAAAGACTTACTTTTCTAGGAAGAGAAGTTTTGTTCTTATAACTAGTAGTGATATTCCATCTAATAAAAATTCAACATCTTAAGATGTTTTTTGTCTTTGAAACCAAAATTCGCATTAATTGGAAGATGAAGGTGAGCTGTTGCCTGCCGTAAAGGCGTTAAACCTCATTACCTCAATATCAAGTTTGTTAACTCCAGTAAATACGAGTATCACGAAGTATATTGTGTATTATGAAGATTTGACCTTGAGAAATATTATATTGGTTCTAAAAGAGTGGTTTGAATTTTTTAAATGTAAGTAAAAAAAGATCTATAATCAAACGAAATTGATTAATTTCTATGCAAATGCTAAAGAGTCATTGATAAGTGATTGACACTGTGTTGATAAATTTTTTATAGTTGCCACCGTAAACGGAAATAAAAGTAAAAAGAAAATTCTTTGTTTATAGTTGTAGAGTAGCACTCTCATCAAACCGGTGTGACGGGAACCGCCAGGGTCATTTGGGGCGTTTTTCAGTGTAATTTGTTGATAAATTGTTTTGAGCATGTTCTTCTTTAAGGTTAGATTATCCCAACAAAATTTCAACTTAAAATTCAATCATGAAATCAGTTAAATAAATTATTGAAACACACTGCATGTGCATTATTTATATACATAAATATTTTATTTAACTGACTTCCTGATTGAATTTTAAGCTAAAATTTTGTGAAGATAATATGAACTAGAAAAGGTCTCAAATGGTCTCGGCCTAAGGGCAGTTCTCGAGAGGACGGCCTGATGTGAATTGTCCTCATAGTTGTAATACCTTATAAAGAAATAAAGTGGTAATCTTCTATCATACTTGACTTTTTTTAATTTACGACATAAGACGTATCCCATTACCATGAGTTGAATATTGTTCCCTTCCTCGTTAAAGAATTTAGTCAAGTTTGGTAAATGTAATAATGTATACATCCTCCTGACCTCCTTTATCCCCTTCTTTTTATATTGTTTTGCCTTTTTGACATTCACACTAATTTGTCTTATATTATAGTAAAAATTGATTATAATAATCCCAACTATTGAAGGTCCGCTTATAATAATCCCAACTATCGATTATTTCAGAATAATCATAACTTTCTAAAGTGGATGAGAAAAAATATATCAAGTAATACCTATAAATTATCCCTAACTTTTAGTTTTTAAGCTTAATTTCTATTTAAAATTCACTTTTATAGAAGGTAATAATTGGTCATGGATCATTATTGGCGGACGGTCCATATAGTTGGGATTATACAAAAATAATCAATAGTTGGGATTATTGTTATCGGACCAACAATAGTTGAGATTATTATTTTCAATTTTTCCTATATTATACGAGTACGTAGTAACATAATTCAATTTCTTAATAATCATATACTCCCTCCGCCCCCCTAATATTGGTACGGAAGGGAGTGGTGTGATTTTTAAGAAAAGTGAAATTATGTGGTTGGTAATGAGTTGACAAAGTGAAAATAAAGTAAGAATGAATTGGAGCCACACAAATGTTACCAAATATGGTATGCGACAATAATGAAAGGACATCCAAAAATGAAAAAATGGGACAATTATAGGGGGACGGAGGGAGTATATGTTTAAAGACATTTAAACATATATGCTTAAACTATAAAATCAGACTAGAAATTTTAAGTAGGACAAACAATAATAACATACTTAAACATAATACGTAGTATATCACATCAACTTAAATCGAATTATACTTGGGTAATACGGAGTAGTAAAATATAAACTAGCTAGTTTATAATTAAAAGAGTAAAAGACCAAATCATACTCTATGGATGATGAAAACAAAACAAAACAAAACAAAACAAAACAATATTTAGAAATTAGTTCAAATAGGACTAAAACTATGGCAAAAACCTAAAATAGGACTTGCTATATTTTTATTCCAAAATAGGACCATATGAGTCCTATTGGAAACATACCTATTTTTGCATTCCATTCTTACCCTTCCATTAAATATGAATTAAAAATAGTCAAAAGTCATAATTAAAGTTTAATTCATAATAAATTTGAAAAAAATTCAAAAAATCGTAGAAATATAATTAAAAAATTTATAAAATTTTTATAAAATAAAAAATTCAAAATTTTTTTTTCTTAAATAATTTTATTTTTAAAAAAATTAATAAAAAATAGTAAAACTCCGTAAAAAAAATTTAAAAAAATATGGATGCCTTTCCCACCGCCTGTACTACCTCCCAGCACCACCACCTCCGGCCGATGAAAAAAATGCCATTTTCCCAGAAAAATGCCAAAAAAGTGGCATATTTCTCTTTTCGAATGCCAACATTTTCATTTTTTTCTGCCATAAATATGGCATTCGTAATGAACTTGGCATTTTTTTCCCCTGGTGACTGGAGGTGGTGGTGTTGAGGCGGCAGAGGCGGCGGTGATTTTTTTTTTTTGAGTTTTTAATTTTTTTTTATTTTTTTTTTATTTTTTGAAAAAAAAAATTAAATTTTTAATATCGAAATGTTTTTATTAATTTTTTAGTATTTTTTACGAATTTTTATTATTTTTTATTATTTTATTAGGAATTAAAACATTTTAATAGCTATAAGGGTATAATTGTCCAAGGTACACATAATTAGTCCTATGTTAACATAGTTCATTTTTTGATCCTATTTGTAAAAAGTTAATGACTTTTAGTCCTATTTTGATAATTAACTCAACAATATTTTTATGGGACCAAAGCAAAGTTGTGTTGCGATTCATATTCCATGCATCGTTAATAAACTTCTAATTGGACAGGGCACATTTTGATTAAGAAAAATAACGATATGGTCAAAGTTTATATCGGGAAAGTGAACATAGTAAGGAGCACTTGAAGGAGCAATTGAAAAATGGGATGTGGAGTCCATTTGGTCATTTGAATTTGTAATTCATATTTTCCACTTATCAATCTTGTCAAATAATTTTTTTATTAAACATATACTTTTGATTTTATGCATGGAATTTAACTATAATCAAAATAGATATAATTAAAGATAGTGTTTAGCTATTTTTATACTACGTATAATTTATTCTTTCCATTACTAATAAAAGGGCTTTTTCCTTGAATATTATCAACTTGAAGCTAATTTCCATAAATGTGACCATTTTTACAAAAGGACAAAAATGTGACTAAGAAAATTATATATTTGAAAAAACATGATGTAACTATCATTTTTTATGTCACTGTCGGATATTATGTCACTGCTATATGTCACTATCAGATTTTTATATCACTTTTAAAATGACACTACCGATTTTCATGTCACTTTTAGACGTCACTATCACCGGAAAAAGTGTCACTATGTTGTCGGAAAATTTTTCGGCAACTTTTCCGCGTCAAAATTTTCGCCGGATATCGCCACCCGGCCACCTCGCCACCGCAGCCATTGCGTGAGTCCGCCTACGACCTATTACCCCAACCCCAGCGCGCGCTACTCGCCCGGCCCCTCCCCTGCTCCCTTGCCCCCTCCCCTGCTTTCCCAGCCCCTTTCCCTGCACCCCCAGCCCACTCCCCTGCTCCCCATCGTGTGAAATCGCCGGAAAAGAACAAACAAACTTGCAGAAAAGAAAAAGGGGCAAGACAGAAGAAAGGAAGGGAGGGTGAGAGAAGGGAATTCTGGACGATCGTAGAAGTTGGTCGGAGTTATAGCCAAGCACCAAAGTAGAATCGCCGAAGGAGAAGGGAAACTTCTCTGACGCCGTCGCTCGCCCGGAGAGCCATCGTGTGATGCCACCGCCATCAGAAAAAAAGTCCTGCCCCCGCCACCGTCGGAGGTCTTCGCTCGCTTTTGGCCGTCTATCTCAACGAAGAAGATAACTCAGATCCATGGTTGGACTAAGATCTATTTCAATCGAAGAAGGGAGATTGACGGCCGCCTGCACTCCAGATTTATAGCCGCATGCTCTCTAGATCTAAAGGCGCCTGCTTCCTGATTGATGGCTAAGCTCTCACGGTTGATATTTCGCAGAGATGCGCGACGATGTACAGATGCTGCACAGACTTGATCACTTTTTTGGATAAAAAATTTTAGTCATATTTTTGTCCCATGAAAGTTGGAGACTAATATTTGTGCCATTATTTCACTAATAAAATACTATCGTATATTTTAAATATAATTTTTCAATAATTTAACACATTCAGTCAATCCAACTATTCCAGCTAGAGTTTTAGCAATTCATCATACAGTCGATTCAGCAAATTTCAATGTTTTCAGCAAATTTCAATGTTACTAAACAGGTTCTTAGTTTTTCGAATTATTAGCCTTATAAGCTTATTTGTTAGCAATAGTAAAAATATAATTATACATATTTTTTGTTTTATTATTAAACAGTTTCTTATTTTTTTTTACAGAAACTTAGCTAATTCAGTCGTGCCCTTTTCACCATAACTTCAGCAGTATGGTGAAGTTATGTTAGCATCATTACTATATATTTTTTTATTCGAAAATGTAAACTTATGATGTTAAGCACATGGTTTAAAACACTTAAACATTTACAGTGGTGTAGTTAAAGCGCCATAAATTTATATTGTGAAAGAAAAAAAACATATGTTCATGGTGCTAATATTACTTTTTATATAATGTTCGGGGTATAAATATTACATATGAAAGTTTGGGGTGCTTAGATCACATTTCTTAAGAGTTTGGAGTATTTAAATTATTTTTTCCTTTTTACGAAGTAGGTAAGTTTCAGTTCCTTGTGAAGAAATGTATTGTATTCAAAATAAGTAAGGTTACATTGAAGTTACCTTTTTTTTGCTAAAGTGAACGAAATTGATGAAAATGTTTGTTTTAACCATTTTCATATATATTTTTCTTTATTTTATAAGTAAAAGATACTAAGTATTATTAAATACTGAGTATATTTTTCCTTCACAATTCACCAATTATGTCAACAAATTGAGTCGATTCAGTCACCATATTACCAATTTCAAAAGATATAATTAATTCTTTTGAGTATGACCATATAGACTCTGGATTTAATGCACCAAACTCCTTGTGATAAATAAATTCAACATATTAATTAGCCCATTGTGATTTAAAAATGCATCAAAGCCCCCTGTGTTATATGTAGT